AAAAAAAATAAGTAAAATCTAAGAATTTTTAATTCAAACATTAACTGTAAAAAAGAAAAATCTGTTAATAATGTCTACTTTAAAAATTTGTATTTTTACAAATAGTAATTTATTAATTGACAAAATGTGATGCTAGAATTTACACGACTGTTGCTGTGTTTAAATCAGTGGGAAAAGCATCATTTAGAATAAAAATTCTGTATATTGAAGACTAAAAATTGGCAAACACTGTTTAAAAGTGTTATTTAACAAATTTTCCAGGTTTGTTAATTTTACAGATAATGTCTAGTAAAACTACAGAAATGTGTTAATTTACATGTTGACTGTAAAAAACAACAGGCCAATGCTTTATGTCCACATCAGAAATGTATACTTTATTTATTTTAGAATGTGTGACACAAAATTATTATTATTTTATTTATAATAGTAATAATAATAATCTATTTAAAGCAGCTAAAAATACTATTTTTCACAGTTTTACAGTTTTTGAATGGCTCCCTTCCTGCCAGATTCTTTTTCCATTTTTTACGAGCTGTTTTTTTCAGTGTAACCTTGACGCTGACATAAGTCACCAAGATGAGGACTTGACCTGAGTCTGGCTGCTTTGAGACCTGAATCCCCAAAGAGTTGACTTGAGAGATGAATTCTGGTTTCCGTCAAGCCGCCATGTTTCCCATTAATGTGACTGTCGGGCCTCTGTGGGTCACGCTGGCTTTGCACTCTGCTGCTCTGCTGGAGAGATTTGGGGAAACGAAAAGTTGTGCAAAGGAGTGTAAAAAGAGCAAACTTTGTCAAACATTCAACCTGCACATGGCAGCGGAGGGATGCACTGCTCCCAGGGCTCCTGCCACGATATCTGGAAGTCCTGTTCTGACCAGTGGTAGGTGAACTTTCACAGTTTCACCCTGGACGCTAACTAGCACAGAGACTAAACATCAGATTCAGTGTCAAACTGACCTGAACCGACGGCTACATTTCAATGTGATGTGGTTTTTACTTCTTGAAGGTCTCAGAACTTTTTGACCTCGTATCCTGGAGACATGGATACCAGCTTACGACGAGACTCTTGTTGACAAGGTGACTTCTTACAACTCCTTCAACTTTCCAAACTTTATTGGCTCAAATGGATCAAACTCGGATAATAAAAGAGTCATTTTGTGGGGTTTGTAATGTTCAGACTTCTTATATCCAGTTTTTCCTAATATATCCATGAATGAACCCAATACTCACATTAATGGGAAATGTAAAGGTTGAAATTCACTGGAACTATACTTTAAAGCCAGTAAAGTTTTAATCTGATAAATTAAAAATAACAGCCAACAGATATCAACACAAACTATTTCTGTTCTTGTGCATTAAAACAATCTGGTTTTCAGTGTGTAAAAGGTACTTTTTGGAGGTGAAATATTGAAGCATCTGCTGATGGTTCTTGACCTGCAGTTTTCAAACTTAACTTGAATTTCTTGAGGTTCTTAAAACACAAATTTCTATCCTTGATCAATAATATTTCCTCATTAATCGATCAGTTGTTTGTCAGAAAATGGTTAAATGTGTCGACGAGTGTTTTCCTAAAACCAAAGATGACGTCCTGAGATACTGAGTTAACTGTCGCAGAGGAGGAAGAAACCTGGAAATGTTCAGTTTTAAGAAGCTGGAATCAGTTAAATAAAAAAATCTCAAACTGATTCATTAATGAAGAAAATGGTTTTTATAGGTTAGTCCGTTGTAAAGAGTGGAGACATGTAAACATAGCAGAGAAGTTTGAAATGAACCCTGACGATGGCTAAACTTTTCCAGTCCAGCCTTCTCCTGTAAATCACAGCTTACATTCTGACTCGGACCCTCACAGCTTTAATGTGCATCGAGGGAGACGTTGTGCTCGAGCTCACTTTGCGTTAATAATCCGGCTGAACCGTCGGCGTGTTAACAACCTGTTCGATCATGTGGCTGCTGCTGCCGTTTCCTCCCATTTCTGACTCCGAGGCGAATCCTTTCTCACCGACAAAATGTCTCAAAACCCACAGAAGTAAAACCTGAGTCGTAATAAACTGCAATTATCCTTTTTTACAAATGTGTCACTGACGAGTCATCGCCTCCTGAGTCACGGCGTGAGGCTGATGCCGGAGAAACGATTGGAAGGTTAATCGTGTCGGGACCTGCTCCGTTCACGAACGGAAAAGCAGCTTCTTTGTATGTTTCCTGAGTTATCGCTGCGTGTGGACGTCTCGCATTCTTCGATAGATGCCACAGATGCCACGTGCAGCCTTCAGTCTGTAATAGTTACTGTGCTTAAAGTGAACCTGCTGTTTCTTTCTGCTGATGTTTTAATGGTACGTTTCCTGTTTGAACAGCAGCTCCACACGTCGCCTTCTGTCTGCTGTCTGATTTTAGCACTAAAACTCTTCTATTAGATAAATGATTGTTTTGTGTTAATGCATCACAACGATGGCACATTTTCATTTTCTTACATTTATAATGATTGAGCTCCACAGGAGGAGATTTCTGTCTGTTTTTGTATCACAGTTAACTTGTATTAAGTACCTTTTCTGTTAAAAAAGTGCCTAATTTGATCAATAATAACCACAGTTGTCCTCAAATGTGTTCATAGCTTCTCATTAAAGAAGGAAAAAAACAGCTTCAGTCATTGAAATAAGTTGAAATTGACAAAAGTAATAATAAATAAGAATTTAATGAAAATCATGACATTGCTTTTGAATTGTGGTTCAACAGAAATGTATATATGAAAAACAAACACACACACAAGCAAACAAGCATGATGGGACCCATAAACTAATATTTTGTTGAACAACCCTTTGAGCCAATCAGGTGTTTTCTGTAACTCTCCATCAGACGTCTGCACCTGTTGACAGGTGTTTAGATTCACTGCTCATCAGCAAAGTGCTCTAAATTGTCCAGGACAGTTTTTTTTATTTATTTTAATTATTGTTTTCAACCACAATTCAACAGCAATGTCTTATTTCACTAAATTGTAATTTAGCAAATTTTTATTTATTATTACTTTTTCCAGTTTCTAGTTATTTGAGTGACTGTTGTTAATTTTGCCTTTTCTTTAATTGAAGGGTATGAATACATTTGAGGACGACTGTACGTTCATGTTGGAAACCATAAATACACCACAAACATTTCATATTTGTACATAATGTAAAGAAAAAAGATGTAGATGTTTTTAACAGACCAAAAACCACACATGATGTCATTTTAACCAACTTTACACTTAATGATGTTTAATTATTTTTATGAAATTTGCAGAGTTTGAACTGATGATGCTTCAGAAACAAAATAACTCCAGTGGATCTTCATGTGTGCTCTACAAACTTTATTTGTAGTTCATAGAATAATAGGTGATGGAATAATGATATTTTTTCATATTTAATTACTATCATCAAGTGTGTCTGGTATGTGGCAATAATTTTCTACATATTGGGCTCATATGAGGATAAAAAATAAGATTTTAACACAGAAACATGCTCTGATTTTCAGCTATTCTGTTTATCTTGACATTCACAGCAATGACGCATGTGGAAACCTAAATAACGAGGAATTAATGTTAGTGTCAGAAAAGCATAATGGTATGCTCTAGAGCAGGGGTGTCAAACTCTGGCCCGTGGGCCAAATTTGGCCCACTTTTGGCCTGCGAGACAATACCAAATGACTACTAGAGCTGCCCCTGGTATTATACTGTACAGCGCAGTCACCGCTAATACTACAAATCCCATAATGCCCTGTTGTTGTTTTGGCGCGTCAATCAGGACAGGACCCAGAAACTCCCTCTCCTCTGTGACAGTAGGCATAGCGACTTCACACTACAACTGTCACTGTGCCATTGATGTGTTTTTTTATTTATAATTTGATTTTGCATGTCTCCACTATTAAGTTATATATAATGTATGGTAATAAGCGCTGCTTGTTCCATATTCAATGTTAAAGCAACATTTGTTTTGGTCCATATTAAAAGGTTCATTTGTTCAATGTTGGCCCGCGACTTTGTTCAGGTTTTAAATTTTGGCCCACTGTGTTTTTGAGATTGACACCCCTGATCTAGAGCCTGAACAGGTTTAAATACACCAAAACATGCACCAGATCCTACATGTGTCCAAACCATCACATTACTGCTTCTAACCATCTGAATGACTGCAGTTTTGTGAAACTAAATGGAAAATGACTGGTTTCATCCGACAGTATTTTGTCAACAGAGGCGTCGAGGATTGTCGCGCATGATCTCTGTTGTGTGTCGGTTTTGTTTGACGTACTGACTGTTTGCTTGTGTCTCCCTGCAGGAGCTGTGCCAGTGTCGGCCGTCCGACGGGAACTGCTCGTGCTGTAAAGAGTGCATGTTGTGTCTGGGGAACCTCTGGGAGGAGTGCTGCGACTGCGTGGGTGAGTTCAACGACAGCGACACAAAGTTAGTCAGGATTTTGGAAAACGTTCAACCCACACTTCTGTCCAAATGGGTTTGAACAGCGAGCAGGTTGTGAAAGACGCACGAGCTGAGCATCTGTGGAAGACATTAGTGTCAGCGAAGACGGATGCAGGTTTGTTTCATTTGTGCTGGATTGGATTAAATGGTCATTTTGACCACATGCAGTATTAGACATGAACGATGTGTCAATGTGTCGGACCAGAGAAGAGATCCCGAGAAATTTGTTTGTGTTTTTCGCTCATTTTTACTCAATGTGGGCTCATTTTTCACTGCAGCATAAAGTCCTGCACCTCTAAGGAAACACAACAACCAGGAGTAGAAGGAGAGAGAACTCAGAAAAGTCTTCTGTGCAGTCTGACAGGGATGATGCCTTTATGAACACAGAACTAAAACAGTCTTATAGACAACCAGAAAGCATATCACATGTGTAAATATATATATATGTGTGTGTGTGTGTGTGTGTGTGTGTGTGTGTGTGTGTATAGTGTAAAATGAAGCCACTATGTACAGCTGAATATGTAAACCAGTCATGAGCATCACAGTTTCTGTCATATATGTAATTGTGGCACTAATCTGCCTCCGTACATGTCGTTGTGTTCGGTGTCTCCGTCGCCTCTTCCTGTCTGTGAAAAGCTGTGAAACGTGAGATTAAACCTGTGATGCACTCGGCAGCCGAGAAACTGGCAGGTTTTTAAAAAGCGCCGCCTTGTTGGGAGCGCCGGCGCTCTGATAGGAGATGAGTGTGACCTGAGTGAAGCCAGACGTGGAGGCAGAGCCGGCAGGGCGGCTCAGGAAATTAAAGCAACATCGTCAGCAGCAGCAGCAGCTTCATGTGTGCACATCAAAGCACGGAGAGACCGGAAGAAGGACGAGACCCAGAGGTCAGACTTCAGCCTCTCACTGAGGTGTGAGTCCTGGAGAGGTCCAGGTCCATGAAGCTAGGAAACAGTGGGGAGGTTTAATCCTCCATGGAGGAGCTTTGTTGTGTTTCACATTTTGCTTTGTGTCTCATTTTCTGTTCAGTTTTGTTTTGGGGCTTCGTCATGTTGCTCATATTTGTCATCTCTAGTTGTTTTTGTGTCTCCTTGTTGGTTTTGTCTGTCTTTGTTTAGCTTTTCGTGGGTCTTTATGTACTGGTTTTGCCTCTTTTTGTCTCTTTAGAGCTGTTTTGCCTTTATATGAAGTTTAAGATTTTGCTTTGTGTCTCACTCAGTGTCTCATTTTCTGTCGTTCTGCTCGTCTTTGTTTCTCTTTTTATTCCTTTTCTGTGTCTATTTGTGTTGGTTTTAGTCTTATATGTTTGTCTGTTTGTGCTGGTTGGTCATCTCTAGTCGTTTTTGTGTCTCTGTGTTGGTTTTGTGTCTCTTTATTTAGCTTTTCTTGGGTCTTTTTGTGCTGGTTTTGCCTCGTTTTAGTCTTTTTGTCTCTTTAGAGCTGTTTTGCCTTTATATGAAGTTTAAGATTTTGCTTTGTGTCTCACTCAGTGTCTCATTTTCTGTCCTTCTGCTCGTCTTTGTTTCTCTTTTTATTCCTTTTCTGTATCTATTTGTGTTGGTTTCGCTGTCTTTTAGCCTCTTTATGCTGGTTTTGTATCTCATTTTAGCCTTTATTGTGCCTTCTTTTGTGATTTTTTATTTTTTATTTTGGATCTATTTTTAGTTTTTCGTGTGTCTGTGCTAGTTTCGCACTTCTTTTTGTGTCTTTTGAGCTGTTTTGTCTATATGAGTGGTTTTTATGGTTTGTGTCTTGCTCAGTGTCTCATTTTCTGTCATTTTGTGTCTGTGAGTTTGTCGTTTTCTTTGTGGTTGTTTTGCACCTCTATGCAGTCTTTTTTTTTTGTCTCTGTGCAGGTTTTGCTTCCATTTTTCCTTGTTTGTGTGTGTTTTTGTGTAGGTTTTGCATTTCTTTTCAGCCATTTTGGTCTGGAGCCTTTGCAGTCCTAAACGTGGTTGATTTGAACTTGACGTGAACTTTGTGGTCTTCCTACATCTTGTTTTGAGGATGTCGTGCTCTTTGTGGTTGTTGGATCTCCTTTAAGTTGTTTTGTGTGTTGATTTGTGTGTCCTTGTGGTTGGTTCATTGTGTCTCACTGTGTGTCTGTGGTTGTGTTTTAGCCTTTTTTGTGTTTCTTTGTGCTGGTTTTGCATTTCTTTTTAGCCATTTTTGCCTCTTTTTACTTCTTTGTGTGATTTTTTTTTTGTGTGTTTTGTGTCTCTCTGGTCATTTTGTAGCTGTCGTCATTTCTTTGTAATCACTTTGCATCTAGTTGTTGTGTGTCTTTCTGGTTGTTATGCGTTTGTGGTCGTTTTGGGTGTGCGTTTTTAGTGGTTTAAGCATTTGTGGTAATTTTTGTGTTCCTTTGTAGTCATTTTACATTTTTTACTCATTTTTATATCTTGTTTGTGGTTGTATTTGTCTTTTTTTTAGTTTTTCTGTTTTTATTTCTGTTATATTTGTCGCTTTAAGGTCTTTTTACATCCTGTTTGAGTCGTTTTTTATGCTCTTTGTGGTTGTTGCATGTCCTTTTAGTCATTTTGCTTGTTGATTTCTGTGTCCTTGTGGTTGTTTTGTGTCACATTGTTTGTTGTGTCTCGCTTTGTGGTCATTTTTCATCCCTCTTTAGTTGCTTTACATCTATCTTTGTGTCTCATTTTGTATCTGTGGCTTTATTTGACCTTTTTCTGGCTTTCTTTTTAGTCGTTTTGCTTGTCTGTGTGTTTGTTTCACATCTTTGTTGCTGTTTTGTGTCTTTCTTGTGTTGCCTTTGTGGTCATTTTTCCTACATTTGAAGTCATCTTGGGGCTTTATGAGTGTCTTTTGTGGTCGTTCTGTATTTCTTTGTGGTCATTTTACAATTTTAAAATCTTGTTTGTGGTCATATTTTATATCATTGTAGTTTTGTGGTGTTTCACGTGTCTTCTGGGTAGTTTTTGTCTCTTTGGGGTCATTTTACAGCTTATTTCGAGTCGTATTTCTTACTTTTTGTGGTTTCTACAGCTCCTTTAGGCTTTTTTCATTCTGGTTTCAGTGTCCTTGTGGATGTTTCGGTGTTTCTCTGCGGTCAGTTTGAGTTCTCGGTGTCTCGTTTTGTCTCTGTGGTTGTGTCGCATCTGTTTTTAGTTGTTTTTTTTTTTTGTCTCTTAGTCACTTTTCTTGTCTCTGTGATTGTTTGTGTGACTGCATTGCTGTCGTCATTTAGCATCTGTAGGCATTTCACGTTGCTTTTTAGTAGTTTATATCTCTTTGAGGTCATTTTACATCTAATTATGAGTCATATTTTACCCTCTTTGTGGTTGCTACATTTCCTTTTAGTCATTTTGCATGTTGGTTTTTGTGTCCTTGTGGTCCTCTGTAGGTTTTATCCGTGGTTTTACTGCATCTCATTTTAGTTGTTAGTTGCTCTTGTCGTCTCCATTGTACTTTTGCATTTGTCCTCAGTAGTTTTTTATCTTTCTTTGTGTCTCACTGCGTGTTTGTGGTTGTGTTGCATCTCTTTTCTCTTGTTTCGCATCCCTTCGTCGCTGCCATCTGTGGGCATTTCTTTTTCGTAGTTTGGAATGTACTCGTGGCCGTTGTGCGTCTGTTTCTGCTGTTGTTTGATCAACTTCTCAACAAGAAAATCAACTTCCTCAGATGTCCTAACTCGGGGTTGTTCCTCTCATGTCCGCTCAGTAATCAATCAATGATAGTGAGACACCAGCTCAGGAGGTTGCGTCCCTTCCCCCCTCCTGTTTGTTCGTGTCCTTGAACACCAGTAGAGTCTCGGCTCAGCTCTGACAGACAGATATTGCTGTTCGTGCTGACAAGGAGGCTTTATTAAAGCTCTTTCATGTGGAACACAAATATAAGAATGTGACACTGAGCGCTGAACTCTGCTGCTGCTGCTGCACAGATGTTATGTTTTCCTCCTGGACGAGGTTTTTTTTTTTTTTTTTTTTACAACACGCCGAGGATGTCTCGTATAAGTACATATTCCTCATTTGTGTGTTTTCTTTTTTTTTCTCTCCTTGCCACTGGCCTTATATGTCCACTTTAAGTAAGTTTCCACTCTAAACATGTTATCAGAGCCAAACGCCGACTGCTTTGAAGTGTGTATGTGCGAGCGGTTGGAGCAGCGAGAGGACAGTTTGTATTTTGGAGTGAAGGCAGGAGGAGGGAGGACCCATGTGTACGTTTTATCTAAACCAGCTGCTCCGGCTCTGCTTTTAGCATCAGTTTGTAACACAATTCCTCTGTCAAACTCGGCTTCCCATTAAATGATTTAGCCCTCAGCTATAATTCACTTTGACTCATTTAAAGGGTTTGGAAGATCATATCTGAGGATGTGGGGACTTTGTCAAGTGATTACTACTGTGTTTGGACATTAAATGAAGTGTTAAAAAGACCTTAATTGAGACGTTTTGACAGTAGTGCGGTTTTGCCGAACTGCCCCTGTGAGTCGAAATCATGTGTAAAACCGTTTAACTGCTAAATGTGTGTATTTTGGGTGAAATTAAGTTCTTCAAATAAACTCCTGAGAGTGACTTTAAACGGTCGGTTATAAAAGCAGAACAGAAACTTTAAACGTGCAGATAGTTTTGGTTTTTAACTCACTCAGGTTTAAAGATATCTTTCACCACAGACCACCGCGGTATACATCAGTGATAAAAGAAAAGTTTAGTGAGCTTCACCGGAAACACAGAAAGAAGGCTTTGAAACAACATTTAGACGACGACATACTCAGAATGTGTTTTCAAAGCTGAACAGTTTAAAACAATTTAGAAAGTAAAATAATTCCACTTGGTGTGTGTTTAGTTTGTTAAAAAAAAAATATTTGAAGGTGAACTGAACTGGATTTTTAATATTAACTGCACTGAAAATTCAATTTAAGGCAAAACATTACAGACAAAGACATAGTTTTTCATGCACTGGTCAGTTTAGAGATGCTGGGATATTTTGCTTCCATAAGATGTTCACTTTTAGACTGATGGGAAGAAAACATCCAAAAAATACACTTTTGTCTGTTGGACATTTATGCAAATGAGCATTTTTTGATTAGTAGCTCATTTGCATATTTAAAAATTGAACAAAGCTTCAGAAAAATTGTTTTATAAAAATGATAGTCTTCTGATGACTTTGGAAGTTTCCAGGAGATATATATATTAGTATTTTTAATAAACAAAAATATATGTTTTTTTTTTTTAGTTCATGTCTTTTACCCTTTGAGCGTCAAAATGTGGCAGCAGGTTTAAAAGACACATGATCTAAAAATAAATAAATAAATCAACAAAATTGCACCACTAGAGCCAGAAAAACAGAAACTGTCCGACAGTCTTTGAGCTACTCGTCTGTGTTTTGCTCAACCAGCACAAAGAAGCAAATCTAATTTCAACATTGTGATATTTCATCAAAATGACTTTATTCTACATTAAAAATCAACTGTTTGCACTGAGAAGATTTTGGTGAAAAAAATAAAAAAAATCTTCTGAACCTTGGCGCAGGTGTGAAAATATATAAATCTATATCATATGTAGATTTTATGAATGCAAAAAAACAAATAATACAAAATAAATAATCAAAGAAATTAAAGCGAAAAATGCTTTTTGAGTTTAGAGGATTAAAGGACGTTTGTTTAAACTTTTTTTCTCCTATTATGAACCAGAAATCTCCACCTGCATAGATCCAAAATAAACTTCATTTTATTCTGAAGGGTTTTTCATCAACATTTAGTCCTAAAAATGTGCCAAAATGTGACTTTTTTCCCCCCTGGCTGTTGTTGTAGTTCTCATTTGTGGAACGATATAAAGAAAAAAATCCTCTCCTTTGACACGAATATAAAGGAAACAAGACGAGGAAGCAATAATGAGTCTGTCTGTGTCCATGTTTATGTTTCTGTTCTGGAAAGTAATTTAAATTTTTAGTCACATAATATATCATTTGCACTAATTAAACATGACACATGAAAAATCAGTTGTCTTATTGTGAGTCACCAACTGGGGGACTTTCATGTTCATAAAAATGTTCCCCTGTAGTGACCTTTTGCACATTTATTAGTCTGGAAATGTCTTATAACCTTCATCAGAATGTCTTTTATAGACTTTTGCAAGGTTATGCACACATTTTAATGAGGCAGTGTCTTCATAATGTTGTATTTCTGCCTTGCTGTGCATTATAATGACAATAAAGCTCCTAATTCTAGTGTCACACCTTTAATAATTCAACCGTCAGTCATTTTCTAGATACACTGTGGTGTCACTGTTGTTCTGGATTATTCAAAAACTGCTCTGAGTTTTTATTTGAACAATCTCTTTAATATAAATGACTGAAATCTGTTTGTAGTTGTGCGGCAAAGTATTTCTAATAGAGATAAAGAAATAACAGTTTTTCTATCGTTTGTGTGAAGTGACCCTTTAATGTTGTCACTCAGGGATGTGCAACCCGAAGAACTACAGCGACTCTCCGGCGACGTCGAAGAGCACCGTGGAGGAGCTGCACCGTCCAATCCCGTCGCTGTTCCGAGCCCTCACCGAGGGCGACGCTCCCATCAACATGATGGTCGTGTCGTTCCCCGTCGCCGAGGAGCTGTCGCACCACGAGAACCTGGTGTCCTTCCTGGAGTCGCTGGACGGGCAGCACCAGAACGTGTCGGTGCCTGGAAACAGCATCCACGCCAGCTACGACACTCAAGGTAACACCGGGTTGTCTAGAAAAGTGTGCTTCCACATTTGACTGTCTGATCGTGTGAAGGTGGGAACATTAAAGTGGGTTTAATCCTCATAGTGAACGTGCAAATGCTGGATTTGACATTTTTTCTATTTATCCATAAAGCTGTGTTCCCCCCAAAATAGACTCATGACTTGAAATGGAATACGTACAAGTACGTATAAGTACAGCTAGTCACTGAAATACTTTAAATACAGTCAGTAATATTCCACGTTGTTACACATCTGTGAGCAAAATCTTGTACTTTTACTGCACTGTATTCACTTGACAGTCTATTTTATGCATAAACCCATCATATTCTCATAATCTATGAAGCATTTTTACAGATCAAACTTACTAAATGTATGTAAATTAGAAGTGAACTCACTCTTGGCGATGCTAAACACTCAGATCGTTCTGACACGTTCACCTTCTGGAGTCACATCAGTCATTTACAATCACAAATACTTTCTCATTCCATCCAGCGACTCGATAATTGATCAAGGAAACAGCTGTTTTTGACATTTTTCAACATTAATAAGCAGATTCTAATCAGAGCTGCAAGGATTCGTGGATTAGTTGTCAGCTATTAAGTTAACCGACAACTACTTTGACCATCATTTAATCGGTTGAGTCTGTGTTCTCTTATTACAGCTTCTTAAATCTGAATATTCTCTGGTTCCTCTCTTCCTCCGTGATGATGAACTGAGTATCTTTGGGTCATGGACGAGACGAAACGTTTGTTATCATATCGACATTTTTCACTGTTTTCTGACACTTTAAAGACCAAACAACTAATTGATTGTAACAGGTACAATGTGATCTTTAGCTGAATGCTTCTTCCACTGTTCAGCATATTTCTGCTTTAAGAACATCCATCCATCATCTATACACCGCTTAATCCTCACTAGGGTCATGGGGGGCTGGAGTCTATCCCAGCTGACTCAGGGTGAAGGCAGGTTCACCTGGACAGGTCACCAGTCTATCACAGGGCTACACTTAGAGACAGACAACCAAGCACACTCACATTCACACCTACGGACAATTTAGAATCACCAATTAACCTCAACATGTTTTTGGACCTTGTGGGAGGAAGCTGGAGAACCCGGAGAGAACCCACGCTGCACGGGGAGAACATGCAAACAGAAAGATCCCGGGTGTCCTCAGCAGGACACAAACTGAGGATCTTCTGGCTGCGAGGCAACGGTGCTAACCACTGAGCCACCTTGCAGCCTGCTTTAAGAACATATGAGGAAGAATTTTAAAAACACGTGATTACGTCTGTTTTTTAAATCGGACGGCAAGTTCTGAAAGGATCAATGGAATCATTCATTTTAAATCTACAGAAAATGAAAGCAGAACTATTACTATCCCCTTTTACTAAAAATGGCTTAAAGCTTGGAAGCATTTTGCTGTTACGATGACAAGCACAAAGTGGTTTAACAAGTATTTTCCCTACAGATGACAGAACTCTCCATACTCTGTAAACACAACTTGAGCCAAAAAGTCCCTGATTTATTTTTTTTGTTATGACTGTCGGCTGCTGAGTCAGTGACGGTTTCATGGTTGAGCACAGAATATTTAGTTTTTTACAGAATCTGGTTAAAGGAAATGGTTCATTCAGGGGATTTTTTTTAAACCAAGGTATGTGGAATGAAGTAATTTTGCTGAAATATCCTGATTTTAGGCTGAGATTTGGATAATTTTGAAGACAGAACGACACATCACACGTGATCATTTCAAGAACTGCTGGAAAGTTCAGAATCCTGCATTTATGGATGGATGTCATTCAGTCTTTTTTGTGTAGAGAAAACATACCGTTAAGAGTTCAGTGTTTGTAGCTTCTCAAAATTGAAAAACGTCTTATGTTCTCTGTTCTAGTTTGCTGTCAGCTGATCATCTTTGGCTTCTAGACTGTGAGAAACATGTAATTTAAAGATTATGCTTATTTTTTGATGGAGTTTTTTTTTGTCGTAGACTAAAGTAATTTTCATGAAACATTGTGAGTTTAAACTTAGATCTGGGTCATTTGCCGACAGAACCACACATGATGCTGAATAAAGAAAACCTTGGTGACGTGGACTCCATAGAAAAGAGTCTAACTTTACAATGTTTTTCCTAAAAAAAAAAAAAAAGAAGTGTGTTATGCAGTTATAACCTCATAAAACACCCTGAAACCAACATGGCCAATATTTTTTCGAGTGCCCACAGGTGTTACCAATACTGGAAAAAATGTTGGCTCCACATCCTGTAGATATTTAACCACTTAGAAATGCAGTGTTATCCCTGCTCTGTGTAAAAACTGCCTGTAGTTCAACCGAGAAGTCCCTGAATTTTTGTAATGTGACTGTTTTTGTGGCAGCTGAGTCACTGAGGACCGTTTGATTGTGAGTAAAAGCACAGAATATTTAGTCTCCTTTTTGTACCAGATGTTTGCTGTCAGCTGATCATCTTTGGGTTGTCGACTGTGAGAAACACATATTTTAAATATTACATCTGTGCGTTTTTAAGATATGGGGATATTTTAATGACTAAACAAGTATCACTGAGAGATTGTGGAGCAACACGACAGCAGTGAATAATTGTTAGTTGCAGCTTTGCAGGAGAGAAGCTGTTCTTCTGATGCACCTGAATAGATCTTCATCCCAACAGATGTTTTAGCCTCAGCTGGTTAAATAGTGGCTGCATTACACTTAGACGTTCTTTATGGATCCACAAGGGGAATTGTTTGATCACAGTAGCAACACAGAATAAATAATTATATAAGAATATACAATTTTTTTTTTAAAGTATATTTTAAAAAGTAAGTTAATAATTAATTAATTCATAAATAAATAAATACACACATAAATACACAAATAAATAAATAAATAATAATAAATAATAATAATAAAAGCAAGCAAGAAAAAAAACCCAAAATTTCCATATGTACAATTTACATTTTACATTTTTTTCTTCTCCCTTTGCCAAGTAAAAAAGACAAAAAAATAGATTACAAAATAAATAAATAAATTACAAAATAATAAATTACAAAAATAAAGTACAAAATAAATCAATAAAATAATAATAATAATTATTATTATTCTAATTATTATCATCATTAATAATAATAAAGATAAAACTATAACTAAACTACTCTAAAACTTATGGAAAACTGATGGGTGAACTGTTGTAGGCTTACTTTTGTGCATGTAGATTTACTTGAACAACACTTCATAGAATGGAACTTTCTCCAGTTCCTACTGTGAGAAGTCAGAATGTCAGCCGTGATGACAGTCGATCCAGAACACGTGCTTTCTGTTAAATAATGTGTGGTCTCACTCTGCTGTAAAGCTCCTGTTGAGAACTCGTGTCGACTCCACGTCTCAAATAAAGTTCCCGAATGAGTAACACGACATGAGGATAAAACCGTGCTTTGCTATCACATAGTTCTCTGCTTCCGTCAGGTCCAGTCACATTTTTCATTCCTGCACACTTACTGAGGAGACTCGCAGTAGTAAAATAAGACCCGACTCGCAGCTGAAGCCGAGTCTTGAACCGGGACCAGCTCGGGTCGGGTTGGGTTTTCATCGCTCTGAGTGTCATGCCGCTGCCAAAAAGATCTCCAGTTAAGGGAGCTGTAACCCTGTTGTTCTGCTGCCATTTTCATTTGCGGCTGTTTTGGCTCTCAGCTATTTGCCATAAAGTAATCGCGGCGTTCCCACAGAGTCGAGCAGTTAACTCATTAAGCTCACCCACACACATGGTTCCACTCAGCTGCAGCAAATTCATTTCACCCCTTCAGTAAAAGTAGGAACGCCGAGGGTTAAAGGTAATTACTCGTTTTTTATAAACCACGTTTACTGGATCCGTGACTCACGTCGGCTTTCTCTGCTGTTTTTTTTTCCCCCCCTCTTTTATATTCCAGAAAACATGTGCACAGTGGTCTACTTTGACGACTGCGTGTCCATTCGTCAGTGCAAACTATACTGCGAGTCCATGGGAGGGTCCAAGTACCGCTGGTTTCACAACGCCTGCTGCCAGTGCATCGGACCGGAGTGCGTCGACTACGGCAGCAAAGCCGTGAAGTGCATGAACTGTCTCTTCTGAAGTGCCGGGCACATATTGGTACCAAATGTCTGGTCCATACCAGAGGACTGAGGGCAGAGGAAACCATGGCTGTTCTGTGTTAGCATTCCTCAGTTACCTTGTAAAATACCCCCTTTTACCACCCTTCCTCCTACCCTGCAAAGTGTTTTTATTCTGCTGTTATTGTTTCACTGTATATTTTTAGATATTTTTTCAATAGTGTTTTTTTTTTATTTTTTTTTTTTACTAGAGGTGTATATGAATAATGTATTTTTACAATTACGGTCCGCTAAATCTCAGTCTCATGCCAAATAAAGAGAAGTTTGGTGACGTGGACTGTTTGGTCTCACCGAAAAGAGTCTCCTTTTACAGCATTTTTCTTCAAAAAGGTGTTTTAACGCCATAAAACACCCTGAAATCAACATGTATATTTTTCCAAGTGGCCACAGGTGTTACCAAAACTGGAAACAAAGAAGTTGGCTCCACATCCTTTAGATATTTAACCACTTACAGTCGTCTTCAAATTTATCCATAGACTTCCATTAAAGAAGGAAAAAAAACAGCTGTCACTGAAATAAGCTGAAATTGACAAAAGTAATAATAAATAAAAATTTAATGAAAATCGCAACATTGATTTTGAATTGTGGTTCAACAGAAATATTTTTTAAAATAAAACAAAAACAAGCAAACAAGCATGATGGGACCCATAAACTAATATATTGTTGAACAACCCATTGACAGTTACAGAAGACACTTGATTGCAGTGATTGGCTCTATCAGATTTCTGCACCTGTTGACAGGTATTTAGATTTTGCCCCACTGCTCATCAGCAAAGTGCTCTAATTTGTCTGGTACAGTTGTTTTTTTTAAATTATTATTTTCAACCACAACTCAAAAGCAATGTCTTATTTCACTAAATTTTAATTTAGCAAATTTTTATTTATTATTACTTTTTCCAGTTTCTAGTTATTTGAGTGACTATTGTGAATTTTGCCTTTTCTTTAATGGAAGGTTATGAATACATTTGAGGACGACTGTACATATCTAATGTAATCTCTGCTCTGCCTGCGGTTCAGCAGAGGAGTCCCTGAATTTTTGTCATGTGACTGTTGGTCACAGCTGAGTTACTAACGACTTCATGATAATGACAAAAAGCACAGAATATTTTGCCTTTTTTAACAGATCTGGTTGGATTAAACAGTTTATTTTTGTTGAGACATGAAGAATCAAGTATGATTTTAAGCTTAGAGTTGAATCACTTTGCCGACAGAATCATTTATTATCACGCTAAATTTATCCATACATTTAATTTTATAATATCTTTCCTCAAAAATGTGCATTACGCAGTCTGACACCCTGAAATCAACTAATATTTTTCCACGTGCCTACAGGTGTTGCTGAACAAAATGTTGGCTCCACATACTGTAGGTGTTTTATGACTTACAGATGTAATTTCTTTCCGTCCTTGTCTCCTCTCTGCTCTCTGTACACGGCCTGCAGTTCAGCTGAGAAGTTGGTTCCTGCTAAAGTCACTAATGACTTTATGATTGTGATTAAAAAAAAAAAAAAAAGCACAGAATATTTTGTTCTTTACCAGATCTGGTCAGAGCAAACTGTTTGTTTTTGTCATGAGGCATTTTTCATGAAACGTTGTGATTTGAAGCTTATATTCATTTTGCCGACAGGACCACACGTCACACATGGTTATTTATTATCATTCCAAATAAAGAAAAGTTTGGTTGTTTTGTGTCACAGAAAAGAGTCACATTTTACAGCATCTTTCGTCTTGTTTATGTTATTTTCTGGAGGGGGAAAAAAAGTGTTAAAAAGTGCATTGCAAGAGTGAAATGGTAAATGTTTGTCTTCCCAGTTGCCTGTCTCCTGCTCTAATCTTAGCCTAGTGTTGCCCAAGTCCGGAAACACATCATTTCCTGGGGAAACAAAGTTGTTATTATACCATTCTGGTCCACAGGTGTTCCACTGACCGTCTCATGCAAGCGAAAGGAGGGGAAAAGGGAACATTTACTGATGCCAATCTCTCACCGCCGCACACAAATGCTCTTTGTAATGCCAGCGCGTTTTTCAAAAAGCAGCAGGGCGCCTTATCGCTGATTATGTTCCCAATTGGCATGCAATAGCAGTTTGCACAGACTCATCCACCAGCCGCACAATGAGACCTTGTTTGTCTCTCCATTTTTTTTTATGATATCACGACCTCATTTCGCCGCTGCAGCTGTGTGGTTTGGAGCAGACGGTGCCAACAAAGATCATCAGAGGACTAATGTGTTTCATATGTCCTGATGGCCACCGGTTTTCTGAGCTCAACCACAGCATTGGAAAGTACACATGACTCCCAACACCAAGCGGTTTTTCACTAAATTTAGATTACAGCTGCTTTTCAAAACACTGTTTGACAGTTTCTCTTGTAGGCAGGCTTGAATAACAGCGAAACTTGTGGCCCAGATCAAAATGACACCACAGCCTAAACAGTCTCCATTAATTCCAGACCATTCTTGGCCAAGCAAACCTACAAAGACTATACATTTGTGGTGAAAACTCCAAAACAACCAAAGAAGTGGCGTCAACTCCATTTCCCGTGGTGCATTTGTGTCCAGGCGCAGGCGCAGATTGGTTTATTTAGTATACAGACAGCCGGAAGCTCCACTGTGAAACTGACCGAACGGGATACAACTTGGTAAAGTTTCTTGTCTTTTGTGTTTTGCTCCTTCAACGACAGTACAGCGGTTGCAAAATAGAGTTTAGCATCTGTAGCTAACGATATATTTGAAGTTGGTTTCGTGTGGACGAACCAGCGGCTTTTCTCGAGACGGACAGGCAGGCTAATCAGCTAGCTTAGCAGGCTGGCAGCTAGCTGAACTAACGTTAGCATATGGGCCCCTCCATTCAGAGGAGAACTCCACTTCATGACAGTTTTAAAAGCAAATACGCTTCAATTCACTGGCACGGAATCCAGCTTAAGTGTTTTAAGAGCAAGCTGAAGATATGTGAGTTGTCGTGCTGAATTAACTCCCTTGTGGAGACAGGGTTTGGCAAGAAAATGGGGAGGTTAATCTGTCCAAAGCGAAGGAAGATTAAGATATCAGACAGACAAACAGACAGGCTTTATTAACAGTTTTGTTACTAGAGTTCAATAAAGATAGTGTTAGGGAACAAGTTGCTGTTGGTTTTAGTCATCTGTCACATTTTTTAGTCTGAGTGCTGCAGTGAAAAACCGTAAAATGCATCACGACTGTCTTGGGTTGGTTCTTATATCAGCAGGAAATGAGCAGTTTGTCGGTTTGAGAAACCAGTTTACATGAATAGTTGGGCCCATTTGTAACCACAATGATAATGAGTTAATCTACTTCCTAAAACATGCACTGCTGCTCAGGAGTTCCTTTTTGTGCTTACTTGAGCATCAACAATGCCATATGGCTGTTTTTACATGAACGTCTGAAGGTCCAGCTCATTATTAATCACAGATGAGCTTCAGATAAACCACAGCTCCTGTGTCTGATGAGGCAGACTGTGCTTCTGTTTGTGCTGACAGTGGATGTCAGAATTGACATGTTGGAGGTGGGATGCAGAAGATGGGATTGTTTGAATGGCAGAGCCCCATCTGGTGGGTGTACGTGACTGTTGCAGCTGTTCTGTTCATGCAGTCATATTCAGGAACAAAAGAAGAATAAGACAACGTGGAGAAGGGATGCAGCTCGTTTTATTGAGCTTTTAACTTTCTGTGTACAAAATGTTTGATTTTCAGGTAAATAGATTAGATGCAGATTGTGAATCTTAGTCTGGGTTGCAGCTAACTTATTTTGCATACATTATCTGCAAACATTATCTACCCTGCTGCAGGAGCAGGACACTGAACGTTGTCAGGGACTCCTCACACCCTCTCCATAAACTGTTTGAACTGCTGCCATCAGGCAAACGTTTCTGGTGCATTTAAGGAAGAACCTCCAGAATGATCAACAGCTTTATTCCACAAGCTGTCAGAATGCTGAACTGCTGATCTAGATATGCAAACACTTCTTTATTTAAATTGCTTCAAGTTATTGAATCCTGAAGAAACGCTCTTTCATCTTGCCTGTACTACTGTGTGTGTACAGCAAAATGACAATAAACTTGATTTGATTTTGATTATCACTGCTGAATAAAACAGAGGGAGGTAAAATCATACTCTGCAACAGTGTGTTTGTCATGCTTTAGCTGAAACAAGTTGAAGCTTTTAGGTGCTTAATTGCGTTACATCTGTGTTGTCACTTTGATAACTTGGTTTGCATGGTTTCGTAACTGCCAACCTTTTCGAAAGTCAAAAATGTGAATTTGCATTTAGATTTCCTTTTGGTGGTGCACACACTTCCATGACAATGGTTGAACTGTGTTTTGAGCCTATCTATGCTGCTGTTAAAGTGTGTTTGAGTTGCTATAATGTGCTATTACATGGAATGCACCATGTTACTACTGCAATGCTAAGCAAAGGGCTGCAATGATTAACTGATTCGTTGTCAACTTTAAATCAATTGCCAACTATTTTCATAATTAATCAGTTTGAGTTAAGTTGTTTTTCTAAATTCTCAAATATCAGATTCTTAAATCTGAACCTTTTATAGTTTCTTTCCTTCTTCATGACAATAACCTCAAAGATCCTTGGACTGGGGACAAAACAAGACATTTTGAAGACATCCTCCTGGACCTTTGGAAACACTGAACAACATTTTCCCCATTTCCTGACATTTTTAATCCTAAACAATTAACTGATTATTTGGAAAGTTTAAAAATTAGTTGCAGCCCTACAGAGCATAAAGTATTAGTAGAACGTTTTTCTTAATTGTCTAAAATAATCCCTGCAACTGTTATTTAATCAAAGAAAGATGCCTTACTTACAGTGCCATAGTTCTGTCATGCATGCTATTGAAACATACACAAGATGCGTCTAATATAATGACAAAGTTCTTCAACTTGAGGTGAAAGTTGTATCGTCTCATTTGATGATGTTCAAGTTTATTTTTGTTTTTTTAAATTTATGTATTGCAGCGTTCTGGTTCAGTTTATCATCTACCCATCTATCCATCCATTAGCTATACCAAGATATATTGTTCCAGACATGTGATGCATAAAGACTGAAAGCTGCCTGTTTATGTTTTGTTTTGACTTTGGGGACAGAAAGGTGACCTGTCTCAGATAAATCCAGAGCGGTCTGGATGGTTTAGAAGAAATCATTAAACAATTTGTGCACAAACTGAATCTCACTTTTTGGAGATGTGTGATTTATGTTACATCTGATCTGCGATTTCTGCAGGTGTGATGGAGCGGTGATGTGCCAATCAGAGGTGTGATAAGGCCAGAGCAGCCATGACTGAGTGCTTCCTGCCCCCCAGCAGCAGCCCTGCAGAGCAGCGCAGGGCTGAGCACCCCGGGGGGGTGGCCCGCACCCCCAGCTCTGAGGAAATCAGCCCCACCAAGTTCCCTGGTTTGTATCGCACTGGTGAACCATCACCGCCTCACGATGGACATCACCATGAGCCTCCTGACGCCTACGTGTCAGACGACGACAAGGACCACGGCAAGAAGAAGAACAAGTTCAAGAAGAAGGAGAAAAGGAGTAAGAAATTATTTTAAAGTGGCCTTTTTACTTTACTGTACCGTTAGGAGCAATAAGACAGATGGGAATCGGGGGGATGGGGGGAATGGCGTAGGATATGTACGACTGTGTATAATAAGCAGGGACATTACAGTTACATTGCATTTGCTGCAACCATTTGGCTACCGAGTCTTAAAGGTTTGTTAGTGACCTTTGAAAAAGCAGTTTGCTATATTTTTTTTATTCATAAGTCACTAAGTGACCTTGTGCTCAAGGTTTTTTAATCAAAGCACCGTCCTTGAGTGTGGGAATATGTTAATACTATTATCTCTTCTAGAAAAAATAAACTGTACAAAGAAATGACAAAGTTTGGGATGGATAATAATCTTTATTTATTTCAGTGCTTGTGCTGTGTTTCACACGAATAAAGTGTGCTAATACTGTCAGAATGTAGTTATAATCACTGTTGGCGGCCATGCATTACTGTAATTGCATTACATTTGAGTGCAACACAGTAAATTTTGTTCATATTACACTTACTAATCAGTTATACTTCTAACTATTATTTTCAGACAGACATACTACTGCTGTGTTCTTGCCACAACATTTTTCTGTGCAGAGCTGTTGGGACTGATTTTCACCAGCTTTGCTTTTGGCTCTGCAGTACAACATTATCAAGAAACATAGAACAAAGTCTTTGTCCTCTTTATTAGGACAGGGATCTGTGCTGATATGTGGGCACATGTAAGACTCAACATTATACGGTTAGCTGGAAGGTAGGTAATAATGCAAAAATGTAATGAGTACTGCAATTAAGTACCCTCTACAGGGAGTAAACAAGTAAAGGAATACGTTTTGTTTTATGAGCAACAACCCCAACACTAATTACAATTATAAAGCAGCCTTTTGGCAACCTTGCATGCAGACTGTTTACTTTTTCCAGTATATGGTTCACATACAAATGAGTGCTAACTGAGAAATGGACAGTATGTGAAAAATGTGTTTTAGGGCCTGAGCAAAATCCCAAAACTCAGCCAGAGATAAGATTTCTTAAACTTTGTTTTTGTAGCTTTTTGGGTTACACCGGAAATACTATTTTCATGGTATTTGTTGACAAGAGGAAAATTGTAGACGCAGGTCATCCAGTTCACTGAACACTGCCGTCATGTTGTTGAAGAAGATCTCATTAGTATTAGTTGTAAGATAAGAGAGAGATTTGCAACTTTTCCGTCCTGGTGTGTGTTGCAGCCCACCGTGGTGAGAAATGTTCCTCTACTCGGGATGTTTTTCACAATTGTCCCTTTTCGATCATGGTTTTTCCATGTCTGATTTTAGCTCGTACAGCAGAGCACGGTGGGGGAGAGGAAGTGATGGGCAGTTTGAGGGCACACCCATAGAGCCTGGTGAAGGTGTGATACACAGGGTTCATTCTGAGGGGAAACCCGGAGCAGATTTTTTAAACTGAGAAGAGGCCACTAACTAACTAACTGTTTGCTTTGAGGAAAAATATTTAAAGTGTGCCTGTTCTGGAGAGGAGAGGTGTAAGGTGCAGTGGGAGCTATGCTAAATCGGTGGCTGACCTCTTTTCTAAGTCCCCATTCTCCCCCTCCTCTGCTATCTTCTCTCGCTCACACATCTCTTCCTGTTTCTGTTTCACTGCTATCATAGTTCTGTCGTGGTAGGAGGAGGATAAGAAAACAGGGGTGTTTCTCCCCTCAGATCTAACCCTCCTTTTTTTTTTTACTCTTTACTTTCACAGCGGAGGGATACGCCGCCTTCCAGGAGGACAGTTCGGCAGACGAAGCGGAGAGCCCGTCCAAAATGAAGCGCTCCAAGGGAATCCATGTGTTCAAGAAGCCCAGTTTCTCCAAGAAGAAGGAAAAGGACTTTAAGGTGAAGGAGAAGGGCCCCAAAGAGGACAAAGCCAAGGACAAGAAGTCCAAGGACCTGACGGCTGCGGACGTGGTGAAACAGTGGAAGGAGAAGAAGAAGAAGAAGAAGCCGACCACGGAGGCAGAGCCAGTCCCAGTGGAGACCCCCACCTTCAGGCCCATCTTTGGAGCCCCTCTTGGTGAAGCTGTGAAGAGAACCGCTCTGTATGATGGCATCCAGCTGCCGGCCATCTTCAGAGAGTGTGTGGACTACATTGAAAATTATGGGATGAAGTGTGAAGGCATCTACCGGGTTTCAGGTATCAAAACATGTTGTTGATTTCACTCCATCCTGGGTCATTCCACCTCAGTTTACTAAATAAAAAAAAAAACAAAAAACGTTCACACCTGATGATCTCGTATTTGTCAATTATTTTTCTGTGCATACATTTGTTATTAAGTTAGACGTGTAAAATATTTGGTCACGGGTGTTTTTAGAGAGAGATGGGGTCATGTTATGTTTTGCGTTGTTTTTTTTTCTTCCACTATTGGAATGGTTTTATTCATTGTACCTGCTAAATGATTGTCCTAATATTGGCCATAGATGCAAAAAGATGAAAAATAAAGGTGTCATGGTTGGTGAACTATCAGACTTAAATTTACATGCAAAATTTCAGGACTCTACCCACATTTTTTCTCAAATTATGGCACTTTAAACGTTGCTCCATAGATTGGCACAAAGAAAACAACGCTAACATCAACATGACCCCACTCCTCTTTAAGAATTTTTACCTCAAAATATAATGTTACCTCTGACCCCAGATGTCACACACGGTCAACTTGACCTTCAAAATATCGCAGTCATTCTCTCGGATTACTCACATTAGCTTCTCTTCTGTCAGGTATGAAGTCCAAGGTGGATGAGCTGAAGGCAGCGTATGACCGAGAGGAGTGTCCCTGCCTGGAGGAGTACGACCCTCACACAGTTGCCAGCCTGCTGAAGCAGTACCTCCGCGAGCTGCCGGAGAATCTGCTGGGCCGAGACGTGGCCCAGAGGTTCGAGGACGCCTGCGGTCGACAGGTGGAGTCCGAGAAGGTGACGGAGTTCCAGAGGCTGCTGGGCGAAGTGCCGACGGAGAGCCGACTCCTTCTCTCCTGGCTCGTCACGCACATGGACCACGTCATCACCAGGGAAGCCGACACCAAGATGAATATTCAGAACATCTCCATCGTCCTCAACCCCACCATACAGGTAAGAGATGTGTAAATGAAACTAGAGGCTAACTGGAAAAGATGACTAAGTATTAGACAAAAACGGTGGTTTTATTCAACAGCAACAGGAAAACTAAGCATCAGATAGAAATATGGGGCTTTGGCTCAGGACCAAATGTACCTAAGAGATAAGAAACCTCCCCTTAGCAACAAGCCAACTGAGTTTTTATTGGATCAAACAGTCAGTTCATCTGTGAAACCCTGGCCCAGTTTAGTGAAGCTAATTTATTCCCGCTGGGGACATCTCTGTGGCTGCTCCACTTATTCTGAACCAACAGCAGCAGGAGCCACAACACTGTTAAATAAACACTTGGTTCAATTAATGAGTGTAGTCCGGGGTCAGTTTAATCAGGCTGGGTAAATATACAGGGATTTGTGTTGTGGAGAAATTGGTACAGCTTCAACTCAGCTACATAAACATAAGACAGAGATTCATCTGAAGGCTGGATGCAGTTTGTATGTAGCAGTGTAAAAACTGTCTGCGTTGTGTTCCTTTTCCCCTGCTGATTTCAGATTGGGAACCGTGTTCTTTACATGTTCTTCACCCACGTGAGGGAGTTGTTTGGAGACGTAGTCCTAAAGCCAGTTGTGCGGCCGCTTCGCTGGTCCAACATGGCGACGATGCCGGCTCTGCCCGAGACCCAGGAGAGCATCAAAGAGGAGATCCGACGACAGGTGGGTTCAGTCCTGCTGCAGCCAATGTGTCCAATTTATTGCTTGTTTGTTAATTGATTGGAACTAAATTTAAAAAAGACAACACTCAGCAAACCAAAATGCTGAATACTTGCTGCTTCACGCCTTGTTCGCCTGTTTTATATCCTGGATTTTGCAGCATTATGTCAAAGGCCAATATATAAATGGTCCAACTTAGTCACAACTGGAAGTCGATGATTAATTGTGATCCACTTTCAGCTAGATTTAAAGTGTTGCATAGTAGAAGCGTAGCAATGCAGCAGTAATTTAGCTCAAGTAAGCTGCTGCTGTTTATAGTACATTGTCTTGTCAGCAGTGTGCATCTTTGTCTCTGTTTCTCAGTGTGCCAGGACTCTGTATTGTATCAGCATGTACTCCAGAAGTGTAGTTGGTTTCTGCCAGATCATGTACAACAACAATGTGAAACAGTTTATCCATAGCAGACGTCCTTAACTACACAGTCGTAGCCTTTGAGATGTCATTGTTGGGAGGAAATCATTTTGTGACTCCTAAAATATTACTCCAGCCAATTTTTTATTTTTTTTTTGGCTTCTCTGCCTTTTACAGTAAATGATGCATGGGATGGTTTGTATATTAAAATGCTGTGCATGTTTGTCAGGCTGCCTTTTTTAAGGGATTGTCAAGTTTAGTTTGCCACTGAGTACTGTAACTATAGTCTGACACACAAGATGTAAACTGTGGGACTAAAACATTGACCAAGTATTCCTCTTAGTCTTCCCAAGTTTTGATGAAGATTTGGATTGTGCATTAAGTCAGGCCTGCTTGGTTCTTGTTCATATTCTTTGTAGGTTGTAAAGACTCTGTTAGACTCGGGCAAATAAAACAAACAAACCAGTCAGTGTTTTATTTCCCTGTAACAAAGTCACAGTGACACATAGCAGGACTGTGGACATGAGTCTGGCTATGTGACACTACTGTTACTATAACACTCTTATTTATGGCTTTTATGTTTATAAGGAATTGTGCCGTGTTTGGCTCCTGCTCACATTTTAAGCTCATCCACGTCAAGTAAATTCCAGCCTGTAATATGAAGGTGTTTGTGTTTAGGAGTTCCTACTGAACTGCCTGCACAGAGACCTGCAGGCAGGAGTGAAGGACTTGTCCAAAGAGGAGCGACTGTGGGAGGTTCAGAGAATCCTGACTGCTCTCAAACGCAAACTGAGGGAAGCAAAACGTCAGGTAAGTTGTCGGTGTTTATTTATTTAGTAAAAGGTTCATCTGACTAATTGTCTTTTAACTACCGCTTTGCTCATTCACTTTATATCGTTGAGAGGAAGCTAAATAACAGAAACATCCATCTGAATGACACAGCAGCACCACAAAGCACAGAAATGTGAATTAACACCACTCTACAACATATAAAAATGACTACGGTAGCATACATTGAAGTACTGTTGCAGTATTCTGCATTAGATTTAGGTGTGTGTGTGTCTAATCAAGTACCACACAACTAAATAATAGAGTCCAGTGTAATAATAACAGCCACACAAGTGACCATGTTTGTAACTTGTTTTGAAATGATTGCATCAAAGGAACAGTTGAGTGGGGCTGTATGAGGTACTTGGGTCAGTACCTGCAGTGTGACAGTTTATATTGATGTACTGCTGCAGCAAAACATATTTTGGCTGACTGTAAAAAGGCCCACCTAAAAAAAGTGTATGTTCAGTGTAGTGTATATTTATCTTCTTACCTTGCCTTCAAAGAACTGAAGCATTTATATGACGCTCCTCAAAATACAGATGAGGTGAGATGAGGGCCACTGAAGATATTACTTTTTTTTTCCCCCCAAAAAAGTCAAATCCTCTTCTGTTTTAAAGTGACCAGACTTTCCTGGCAGGCAAAAACAGTAATTTTACCCTGCAGAATACAGAAATTGCTGGTCTGCAGGCTTGTGACTTTTGGTGTTAGTCTGAAGTTTGAATCTGAAATAATGTATTTGAGCACAGAAGCCACACAGTAGTACAAGCAAACTAACCGATCAGTGCAACAACAGACCAGCGATTCCCATGCAGTTTAACCTCACAGGTCTCGTGTGGTAAATGACTGTTTTTATCAGTGGAGTCTGACGAGAGTTTACAACTGTTTCAGTTCCCTAATAGAAAGGCCTGTCTGATGGTAGGGTACAATCAAATATAAATGCTCAAAATATAGCCTCCACTTAAACTGATGCTAGTCTTCCTCCCCCCAACTGGAGGTGTCCTGACTGTCTTCTGCTGTAGGTTTATGAAGTGATTATGGTAAAACTCTCTTTAAGAAAAAACACAGCTGTTCATTGTGCTTTATTTATGCGTCTTCCCTCTGTGGTTTTAGGAGTGTGAGAGTAAAATAGCCCAGGAGATAGCAAGCCTGTCAAAGGAAGATGTTTCAAAAGAGGAAATGACTGAGAATGAGGAGGAAGTAATCAACCTTCTCTTAGCACAGGTGAGTCATTCCAACCAACACATCGATGTGCCCTCACCAGCAAAGTGCCAGGAAACATTCACTTATAAACGCCTTCCTGAGGTATGTCATGTATGCACGACTTCTGCTTTCTCCTGATAACCAGGAAAATGAGATTCTGACGGAGCAGGAGGAGCTGATCTCTCTCGAGCAGGTGCTGCGCAGACAGATTGCTACAGAGAAGGAAGAAATCGAGAGGCTGCGGGCGGAAATCGCGGACATACAGAGGTAATGGAGTTGTACAACAGTCATTACATTTACTGCAGGTCTCAGCTGTAACATAACATTTGTGCGTCCGTCTCAGTCGGCAGCAAGGTCGCAGTGAGACAGAGGAATATTCGTCAGACAGCGAAAGCGAGAGTGAGGATGAGGAAGAGCTGCAGATGATACTGGAAGATCTGCAGAAGCAAAACGAGGAACTGGAGGTGGGAAAACATTCAGTACACATGGTTTTTTAATGTCTTCCCTGTAGCGTAAGTGACAGCATTTAACTGAAACTTAGACCAGAGTGTGTTGAGACCTGGAACAGAGTAAAATCTAAAAGTAGAACGCACTGATTAAACGGTGAAACACTTTCTCTGAAAGGTTTTTCAAGATCAACTGGAGCCTTATAAAATAAAATTGTCAATATCGTATTATAAATGTGAAGTTGTATAGCACTGTTCTGAACTGCTAAATAGAAACATAAACATTACAAGACTAATAAGACCAATAAATAATCATAAAAGCTGCCAGAGAACATAAAAACAAAGATCATAAAAACCATGAGATCATAAAACAAAAAAGGCATCATAAAACACAGCCATATATCAAACATTCACCAAGGCCTTTTGATTAGAAAAAAATGTTTTTAAGATGAGATTTAAAAGACACTGAAGATGTTGCACATCTGATCTCAGGAGGGAGCTTGTTTAACAGTTTGGGTGCCGTAACAGCAAAGACCTGGTCACACCTATTCACAAATCAAGACCTAGGAATAATCAGCTGAGGCGATCTAAGAGAGCGCCCTAGGGCATAAAGGATTGGACAAAGGCCATTTAAGGCTTTAAAAGTGATTTATATTTTATAGATTGCCAGTTAAATTGGCATGTACTAGAGTGATGTGATCATATTTCTCAGTGCCAATTAAACATTGGGCTGCAGCTTTCAGAACCAGTTCGAGGTGATAAATGGAAGCTCTGATGCTGTTATAAAGTGTTACAGCATTCGAGGTGGGAAAAATATAACACATGAATATGTTATGCAATGCTAGTAAGTGACAGACAGGAAGGTGTAAATCTGTAGATTTGTTTTGGCTGAAAGAAGCAAGAGTAGACAACCCTGCTCACTCGAAATTCAAAAGAGAAATCAGAAATGAGATGAGGCACTACAGTGATGCCTGCATGTTGTTGCCCCGCAGAACAAAAACACCCACCTGAACCAGGCCATCCACGAGGAGCAGGAAGCCATCTTGGAGCTCCGCGTCCAGCTCCGCCTCCTGCAGAGCCACAAACTGCAGCAGGAACTGACCGTCCAGCCGCCGGCCGAGCAGCCTCCTCCCGCCCCGCCGAGCCCGGAGGCCCGCAGCGAGGAGCAAACCAAACGCTCCGTCGCGGCCGCCACCGCCGCCGCCACAGCCTCTGCTGTCACCGTCGCTGCCGCCACCACCGACACAACTGCTTCATCCAATGGAAAGGCGGCATCAAAGGATCCTTCGAAGCCCTCGCCGAGCAAAGACAGGAGAGACGCCAACATGTGAGCTCTGAGTCCGGCGGCTCTGCACTGCTGTACGTCTCTACCGCTGGTCAGTTGTCCCGTAGCTTCTTATCCACTGGAGGTTTGCTGAGTTCGTTAGAAAGTGGCAGCCAAGAAATTATCTGTTACACTGTCTTTGGTGTCCTGATTTTTTTTTTTTGTCATTTCCATAACACCAACACAAAAAAAACAACCTAGAAACAGAGTAGCGGCTGTAGAAGACAACTGGCTGCCACTGTGAGAGACTGGGTGGGACCACATTTTCCAAATCTGCAGTGCCAAGCCTGAATGAAGGAGGAGAGGGCAAACGGGGAAATGAAGGGATTCCTGGAGCGAGTAGGGGGACGTACAGTAAGAGAGAATAGAGTTCGCAAAGTTTATTTTTCACTGATGGGTGAGTCAAGAATCCATCACTAGACCAGATGTAATCTCAGTCCCTGTCGTGCATTTTGTCCCTTACCTAGATGCAAATTTGACATGTTTGGATAGAGACCACTGTGCCATAACTGAAGATGCCAGACTGGACACGTTCCCCCCCAGAGAACCACTAACACAAAAGCTCTTTGAATAATGAAGAATTTATGATCGGTCTATCTATATGTTATATATTTAAGTAGTATTCTGAAGAATACGGACGACTATTCAAGAAGTTCATTGATTTAAAGTTACAGCTTTTTTTTTTTTAGTAATATATGAATATATAAATATATTGTAGATGTTTTCTTTTCTCTCAACAGCCGATGCACATAAAACACAGTGGCGTTGTACCTCGCAACTGACCAGTGGACGAAAGCATGAACAGCAAACAAATGCGCAACAAAAGTACATTTCATCACCGCAAACAGCCGGAGGCGACACTTTGCCCCGCAGTGCAATCATCTTCTTTTGTTGTCTCTCGCTCGCAAATGTGGAAAAATACATTTGTGACAAACCTGTGGTGATGATTTTTAGTCTCCAAATTGTGTGCAGAGACACAAAGGAGGCTTGTTTAGTTTTGTTGTGTATTTGTGTGTGTGTGTTTTTTTTTATTTTAACTCTTGATGTGTGGAGTTATTCATGGCATCAGCTAAATACTATCAGTCAATCATTTCATTTAACTGATCCATGACTATTGCAAAGTACTGTCGTTGTTCGATGATTGAAGCAAAGGCATGGCCTGACTTACTTACCTTTTCTGTATATTATTGTAAAATTGCAAACAAACTGTATTTTCAGCTTTTATGTTTTGTCATATGTTCTGTTTGTTTTTTGTTTTTTTTTATTAATGACCTGTGTGGATTATTGCTAGTGTGACTGGCCCTGCTTTGGTCACGGGCAAATCGAAGCAATCTCATCTGGACTCATGATTCAACGTTAATTAATCCTGTGACTGAAACGGATACGTGCTAGGTTGGGCTCGGAAGCTTCTCATGAGGTTATTTTTTCATATTGTTCCAAGCTTTTGTAGCTGATTGTTGCAGACAGAATAATGCTGTGAAGAATAAAGTGTCAATCTGAGTAATTTATCTCAATCTCTGTCTCTTTCTGACGCAGTTTACCTTTTTTTTTTGTGCTCAGTTATGTATCTCAGTTTGTTGTTTAGCATTCATTTTAAACTAGAGTAGAAGGTGGGTTTGGAGTCAAGGCTTCAAGAGATAGTGGAACCACCCAACTTTTTTTCTCATTGCTTTAACTGGTTTCCGATTTGGAAAGTTGCCACGTCAAGTTGGGCAAAAACAGGCAGAAAAGAAAAACAGAGGCACGCCAACTATTTCAAAATTAAAGCACACTTTTAATTCGGACTACAGGAAAACTGCTTTGTCTTGCTGTTGTAGAATATAATTAATAAAATTCCCATCATTTACTTGAGTATGTATGTGTTGCTGTGCATTTCAGGACAATCTACTGCTGCTATTTTTTGTCAAACATATTGTAGTTGTTGGTTTACTAAGTTTTTACACTAAGATATTTACTTCGTATTGCTTCAATGCAAAATGTAATGCATTGTTGTCAACCAAACTTCCCATCGGTATACAAAATGATCAACAGTAACCACACACTGACAAACTACAACAGTACATTTAAACTTCTCCATGCATCAGTAATAATTATCAAGTTTTATCATGTTTACTTCTGATATTTTACATTTCCCTGAAAACATTTCCAGTGCTCTTCAGATATGTTAGTAGAATTTTCCAGATAGCCAGAAGGGATTTGTCCCATAGTAGCCTAAACCGAGCAGGACAGAGGAAATAATATGGCCCAGGTTTGGTACGAATGATGTCCCAGAATGGGCCCAAAGACACATTTCATGTTCTGAGTGTTTTAACTATATATCATTCAAAACGCCATCAGTTCTGACTGGTTTTAAATGTACTTTTATGCCATTTATGGATTCTGTTTATTTATTAATTGATTGATCAATAATCAGTAGACTGACTTTTCCTTATATTGCCAATTATTCATACTTTTGGAGAACTGGAGACCCCTGTATGTACTCTTGAATAGGAAGTACTTTAACTTTTAAAAGAAAGGATATGAATATTTCTACCACACTGTGTTATAGGGCAAGAAAAAATGTTTACATTTTGAAATCTTCCATTTTGAAACAGGATTACCAATTTTATGCTCTCTTTATTATTTGTATTTGCATTCATTTAGCCTTTATTCATTGCGGTATGGAGACATCATTTATAATGTAAGTAAACAGCTGGAGGTAAACTGGCTTTGGATAGTTTTGCATGTTATTCTAGTTTATTAGTGCACGGTGAGTTAAGAAAAGAAAAAAAAGAAAACACTCCTCAACTCAAACACTCAACACTCCAGGATAATCCAGGATAGTTACTGGATCCCAAACAGGGGCAGAGCCAACGGCCTCCCAACTTCTCATTAGTGATTACATTTGACGACAGCTGTTGACTCCTCTGAGTCTATTTAATTAGGACCTATTTGATGCACTCGTTAGATTCAGCCAAAAACACTGCAATGGGAAACCTCAGGAGCTCAGCACAGATCTGAAAAAGTAAATCACTGACTTTAAAAAGGCACCAAGTGACTTTGCCGACTTGTTCAAGTTGTTATAGAGCCCGAAATCATCTGTCAGCTGTTTGTATGTAAACAATGCATGGTACAGGAAAAAAGCACAAGTTATCACCTTCTGCTTGGAGACAATTGGTCAGAGTAGTCAAGAGTCGACCAAGAATCACCAAAAAGCAGGTCTGCAACGAATTAGAAGCTGCTGGAACACAGATGTCAGAGTCCACAGTCAAGTGTGTTTTATATCACCATGAGCTGAAAAGCTGCCATGCAAGAAGGAAGCCCTTCCCCCCGAAACAGCATCTTAAGGCTCGACTGAAGTTTGCAACTAAAAGAAAAGACCTACTGAAGGAAATGTCTGTTCTTCAGATGAAACAAACAAACAAAAAATGAGAGAAGGTGAGGACTTTAATCCCAAGAACACAGAATGTATTGTTAAGCATGGCGGTGGCAGTGTTATGCTCTGGGGCTGCCGGCGCAACTGGTGCTTTACACACAAGTAAATGGAATAATGAAGGAGGAGGATGACAGAAGATTGGGGTTTTGAGTGCAGTTGGGTGTTCCAAAAGACAACGACCCCAAACACACTTAAAAGATGGTTAAAAAAAAGGTTTCAGACCGGCCTTCCCAAAGTCCTGAGTTAGACCCCATCGAGAACCTGTGATGAAGAAACAAGTCTGTGTCAGAAAGAAAACAAATCGTTCGCCTCATAGCATACTTGCCTAAGTCATATTTTCATATTTTTGGGAAATGAGAAATACACAATTTTTAGAAATGACATTGGTATTTATTATTGATTTTTTAAATTCAACCAGATGTGATTGGCCAATGACATCGGTAGAAAGACAGGAGGATGCAGAAGTGATAGGAGAGTAAAGTTAGGCAAATATCTCAATTTGACCAAAAAATGACTTAGGCAATTATGCTATGAGGCTAATGTAGCTGAACTGCACTAATTCTGTCATACAGCCAGGAGCTCGTGGATGATGACCATAAGGTGCCTTATTGTGGTAAAAATGGCAAAGGGAGCACTGCTGTATGTATAATTTTGATCTATAATAAATCAGTAAACAAACCGAAATGCGCGATTATTTCTGTGTGACAAAGATTCATGCGTTCCAGTGATTGCCTGATAGAAAATAAAGACTTGAAGGAGAAACTTTCAGACTGCCATCAACATTCCTGCCACTGAGCTGCAGGGCTTTTATTTTGAAAGCCGGCAGTGGAGAGAAGACGGTCAGTGTGTCTGTGTGAGGGGCTGGGTTTCTGGGTTTCTGGGTTTCTCTTTTATCCAAGAAGAGGAAAAAAGAAAAAAAGAAAAATCAAGCAGTTTCAAGCATGTCGGGACAAAGGCAGTGAGTGAAGCCTGACTAGCGATGATTTAAACACCTCCGGGAGTCTCCATCATGGCCATACGGGAGCTCAAGGTTTGCCTTTTAGGGGTGAGTGAGCGTTTTGTTGCTCCGTTTTTTGGGGAAAAATTCCTTTAGCCTGCTGGACTACAAGTGTAACTAACATGACATTTTGACGCTAACAGCACTTTAAGGGGTGAATGTTCGTCTGAATAGTAAATGTGCTGTTTTATTTTTTTAACTGTTTGCACTTTGTTCGTTTAAAAAACTTGGGAATGTTTGCTAGCTGTAGCTCCTCGGCCAGCAGTCATTTTAGCCTGTTTTTTTATTACATTTATTTACATATTTACACCCTTAAACTGCATTTTACTTCGTGTTTTCGGTGTATTTTCACAGTTTTCGACTTTATCCGTGAACGCTTCTGTCAGTTTATCGCCCATTACGTCACCGTCAGACCGAGCCGTTAGATTTCTTGCTGCGTTAGCAAAACACACCGGAGGCTCTTTAAAACGCGATGGAGACGGAGGTTTACACAAATACTGCTTTATCAACGAAATAAATAGGAACCGGGGACTTTTTGAGGAGCTACGTGGGGTTACGAGGCCTGTAAATACCGCCCCAGGCCCCTGACATGATCGAGGAGGAGGTCACATTTCGGATCTAATCTTGAAATTAGCTCCTCAAGTCGGATTAGATCTAATAATCCAGGTTTATGTTTGATGTGGATCAAAACTTCAGCATGTAAAGTTTTCACAATGATTTGGATCAGTGTCCTAAAACTATCCTCACGTGTCTGCATTATTTTACCTGCTCATTATAGCTAAAGTTATTTAAACCTGTAAAACCAGATGGATTAAAGGAGCATTTCAACTCATATAATGCAGTTTTACACGTGACAAAAAGTGTTTGCAGTGCTTGTGTTGTGACAGAAGTGTTATTAATGCCTCAAAATGACTTGATCTTAGTCTTAAGGGTTATATTTATAAATTGAGCCCATGGGATAACTGCAAATGAAAAAAAAAACATTCTTTACATATAAAACTCATTCATAAGTCATCTTACTTGCAGTCTACTTTCCAACTACAAACTAGAAAATTATACCTGACAAATACCAGCATACAAATTCAAAAAAAATATTAGAAAATTGCCTAGAATCACAAATGTTATGTCTGATTACACTATAAACGGCTAAAAATGTAGTTTTTGTTTGAGTTTCTCCTACAATAACTGTAACTAAGAAAAAACTACATAAGGATGCACTTCTGCTTTGCTCCTATAAGAACAGATCAGTGTAATGCTATGTGAGTAACATAAGAATAGGTTAGAATAAAAGTGTATATGGGATTCATGGAACACACACATATCACTGTGGAAATGCATATGGATAGATGTGGATGATTATATGAATAACTCCACCATGAATAATGTCTGAATATGCATTGGGTATACATGAATATGGATAAATTACCGGAGATATATACACATTTGGACACACAGGCACATGTCGTTGACATTTTCCACCATACAACATTCAGATTTCCCAAACACATCAACACAGATATGAAGTTATGCATGTTTGCACACTATGACTGTTTGATGCTGACAAAAGCACTGGAGATGTATAGAAACTGGACAATAATTAGTTTAATGAGCCAGACAATTTCAGTAGGGGTGGCCCGGTTGAGAGCATCACTCACACTGGGTTATCACAATGTCTCCATATATTTTTCCCTCAGTAAATGTCTGAAGGCCAAATAGTATTTTTTTTTAAATCATTCATTCTTATGATTTGCTTATGCGGGCAAGACTGTCATGTAGATGTACAAGAGAACTAATATACAGTCTATAAAAGCTTTTTGAGTTGATTAAATTTGCTCTAGTTATGCTTTTTTAAGTAATAACAGTGTTATGTATTATCAAATCAACCAAATCTGTTAAAAGTTCCCAGCATGATCCTATCAGAATTAGCAGATTCCCCTTTTTTAAATTTACAATAACTTTAGTATATTTATCGAGGTCATGCCAAATATTGTGTTTCCATATCATGAATATTTTCCGAGTTCCAGGCCCTTGAAGTGCAGAGGCGTGGGTTGAAATTTCATGCTATTGGATTGGTGTTACTTTTTCCAGCATTTCTTAGAAAAAAAAATGCATTGACCCTGAAACCGAAAATCCTGATTTTGTTCAGCACAGTTCTTTCTGTAACCCAGTTCGAGCATCAATATCACGGGGCGTCTTGGTTTTAATAGCAAAATTTCACCACTTTAATGACTGTGACAGAGTAATAAAAAAAAAACAAGCATTGGGTTATCTGTTGTCTGATAACTTACTGTAGAAAACCTAAAGAACTGCATTTTAGGTAAATACCTGATGATATCCATGGTCAGATTTTGGCTTTAGAGTGTACCACGTGGAGTGGGTGTACTCCAAAACATATGTGAGGGATCAAGGTACTATTTTGCATGGGTTCATTAGTTATACCAAAGTTACATAAAGCATCAGCTGATTCTTAGGAGGTCAGATGGGAGGCGCTGATTGATTTTTCGCGGAATGAACGACTAAAGCTCATAAGAAAATCTATGTGAGATAATTACATGCAAGACACTCATTTTGAAAGTGTCCTAGTTCAGCTCAGGACATCCACCTGATTGAGACATCAAGGCCTTTTGTTTCTGAGTCAGTTTCACATTGTTCAGCAGTTTGGTTTCTCTTTGAAGAGAAACAAACTTAAGATCTCCTTAAAGTGCATTTCATCCCTGCAGTCTGTAAGAGTCTGTGCCAGAGCTTCGACTAAATCCACAGCTAAACCTAAAGTATACACACTTTATCTAATAAAGACAAGTACAAACAGATTCTTAATTTCGCTGCCAGTATTTGGGATCCAATAAAATCAGGATTATCTTAATCCCAGCAGAGGGGTGGATTTCAGGAACAACCTGTAGTTAAACTTTAAAATTGGGCAAACAATACGGTATTGTATCATGTAGTGTATGTACAGTGATTTATATTTAGTTGGGGGTTTATTTTTTTAAAAATGTTGCAGTGATAGAAAAGACATCAGACTACCTAAGAATGTGTCCAAACAGCTGTCAGTATCAAAGAAAATGAATATATTAATCTACAGCTGGTGATTGAGTCATTGTGCGTCTTAAAAGCACACATTTAAAAAAACAAACTAAATGTACTTTATTTCATTTACAGTTGGACATTTAGCCTTTTTATGATTTAAAACACATGTTCACAACATTTACGAGGCATTTGTGAATAATTTTTATTTGTATTTATTTGCTGTGGGTGAGATTAGCAGTGTGACTTGTTTAAAATATATTGCAAATGGAAATGTTTTCTGCTGCTTTTTTTTTTTTTTTGTTTCCCTCATGAACCCTTAAAGTGACTCCATACTGACTGTTGTTTTTGACACAGCTAGTACATTTTGATAGTAGTCCCATTTAGAGCATTGATTATCCTTGTATGGTAATCTTGAAAAGGTTTAGATCAGAGTGATATGGTCCAGTGTTGCTATGAAAAACTGCTGCTAAAGTTGGATGACCCGATTCTTGAGAGCAAAACATGGGATTTCCAGCTCAAACTTTTTTCAACAACCATCTTTTGATACATCTCTGCTTGTTTATAACAAGCTTCTACTGCAGAGTTTACTTAAACCATTAAAAGGCAGGGTGAGAGCTGTTAGTGTGTCGAGATCACCAGAGAGGGATGGAGCATAAATAACATAAAAATGCCCTGAAAGCACTTTATTTACATGTCAGTAAGCGTGTTTTGTGATTGACACATACATTGAGTCCCCTTGCACAATTAAAACTGTCCAGTGAGGGGTAGTTCCACAACACATGGACTCCTAGTAATTGATCTGATGGTGTGAACATGTGACCAGGCAGTTGCATGATCAGCTGGGTTCAACAGTGACCACCGACTCTGTTTGGATGCTGTGACTAATGTGTGACCTTCTTCTTGCAGGACACTGGAGTTGGGAAATCCAGCATTGTTTGCCGATTTGTTCAGGATCATTTTGATCACAACATAAGTCCGACCATAGGGTGAGTACGAATCACACAAGACCGTGACAGCAGGAAACAAATCAAACTCGCTTACAGAGGTGGAGTAAAGCTGTTCTGGTTTATTGAGGCACCAGAATCAGGTTATATTGATTGATCAATAATCAGACTAAGCCAGGAGTTAGAATCTGGCTGAATGCAACTAGTCCAGACCAGCTCATGTGAATGTTTTTCAGTGTTATCTTGGTCAGTCTGTAGACATACTGATACCAGTATTACTAATTATAAACAGTCTGAAATGCTTCATGAAGAACTGTCTAGACGCCAACAGCAGAAAAATTGATTACTCAAGAGACCGAACAGGAAATATCTCAGACTCATTTAGCCCAAAACTAATGGTTTATGCATATTTTAATGACCCCTCTGCTGAAAATCAAGCGTTAAACCTTGTTAACATGTTCCACTGGTGTTTTTCTATGCGACAAGGCTCATCATGACTGAAATATGCAGCTATAGCTGAGCATTTCCACTTTAGAGCTTCAGTTTGCTGATGACAGTCTTAAAAACCCAGATTCAGAACACCACAGTTTAATATGTAACAAACCTATCAAACCAGTCTTGTCAAGTTGCGAGAAGCAGAAAGCAGGCGTGTTCAGTTTTTGGTTGCATACTTGCAAAAGGAGGACTCGTGAGCCTTTATTTAATATTAACAACACATTAGTAGCAGTTTGATAATGTCGTTAAGTCGAAGGCCCTTGTTACCCATTACCTTTATGTTACTAAAGATGAAGAAAGCGGCACATAAAATACATAAACAGTCTCATAATTGACTCGTAGGCGACCCTGTACACTTTGTTCAGCTTCTTCAGAATCAGTTTCTGGCCTGAACATGTTTATATAAATTATTCCAATAATACAACTTACTTGCCTTTGCGTAGTGTAATTTTACAGTGTTTGAGTTGTAGGTGAGCTGGTGTGCTTGAGGGGTTAGCAGTTATAGAAGAAGATGCTGTATTTTTGATCTATGCGAAACAAAGGGAGCAAAGGTGTAGAGGTACATCTCATCCATTTTCAGACCAGATGGGATTGTTTTCACTGGGGGGAAAAAAAATAAATATGTGACTTTGATGAGTTGAGATGTGTTTCTAGGGCTTCGGTTATTTCCATAAAATGACCTGAAAGTATTAGTTCAGGTCACTGTTTGCATATTTTTATGGTGTAGTGCTTGGAGTTCTAATTGTATGAAGTCTTTAAATGCATATCTACACATTTTTCATGAAAGTCACAACACTATAAAAAAACTCCATCTGGTCTGCAGCTTTTTCTAAAAACTAAATCAAATACAAATTAATAGAAAAATTCCAAACTTAAAAACAATAATGAATATATAGTTTAGACAATGTAGTACGAGACAAACCAGGACGGATTGACGACAAAAGTGAAGCCATATCTAGACAAATGTTTAAGCCCACTGGGATTTTCCTCCTTGTTGGAAGTTTGTTTTTTACGACTCCAGTGATTCAACATCTTCATTCTCAGTGTTATTAGTTTCCTGCTGACTGGTACAGATTGTTTTTTTTTCTCTGTGCTATTTAAAGAACGAGTTTAGAAGCACTGTTGTGAAATGTACTGAATCGCCCACAGAGCGTCATTCCTGACCAAGACGGTGCCATGTGGGAATGAACTACACAAATTTCTGATCTGGGATACAGCCGGACAGGAACGAGTGAGTACATCCACGACTGAAACTCCTCATTTACTTACTACTATCTTTAACTTTACTCACATGACTCCAGGAATCTTGTTTCTTTTTTTAGTTAATTTTCCATGACATGTAGCATCATGAAGCATTGAGTGACACAATCACCTCAGTGTCACTGGTACTCATGACATACAGTTGTTATTATTAGGCGTGAAACAGGATGATCCACTCAGGGTTCAAAAGTCATGAGATGTCATAGTGATTCATTTAAAGGAAAAACAGGGGCCAGGGTGGGGTGTAGCTGAAGCTTGCCAGATTTGCTAACTGCTTGGAAAAAACTAGCGCAACTATTTCCTGGTTATGTGTGAAAACAATACCTTGAGAACTCCGTTGCCAGGGTTTGATTATCTGTGGGATCCGTTCTAGGTAAACATCTGTAAACAACATAATATTTAAGACTGCAGTTAAATATCAAAGATGGTTTTGTTATGATCACTGGCAGCATGAAAATTAAAGCTACTGTTTGTTTAAACTATGCATCTCAAAAAATCTGAACATTGTGAAAAAGTTCTTTTCTTTCGGAATTTAATCCAAAAAGGTAAACGTTCAGTTGTTCTATATTCATTACAGTTTTCTTTGTTTTAATTTGATGGTTATGGCTTATAGCTCATGAAAGACAAATCTAGTATTTCAAAGTATTACATCAGAATACAAGATCAATGGAAAAGAAAGGATTTACAACGGATGATACAGAGTTTAGCAGTGTAAACTGAATCAGGTTAAGAGGGCGGCTGTGGCTCCGGTGGTTGAGTGGGTGTCCTCCGATCGTAAGGTTGGTCGTTCGATCCCCCGCCCCTCCACAGTCAAAGTGAGTGGGTGAATGAGAAAACATTGTAAAGCGCTTTGAGTGCCACTAAGGTGGAAAAGTGCTATATAAGTGCAGTCCATTTACCATTTAAGAACTCCTTTGTGCCTTTACAGGAGTATTGATTGATGCCTGAAGCTGAACATTAATTTAATTTTTAATGTTTCCCTATACTGCAAGGTGGCGCAGTTGGT